TAGACTGTCTAAACAGTCATCAATTCTTGGTAACGGGTAGGGATCAAAAATAGTATCTTCGTTTAATAATTTGTAAGAGACGCAAAACCGCAGGGATTCATCCCTTTTCCGTGCTAATACCACATTAGCACATCGTTCAGAAATTTCGCATGGGCTAATCACGCCCTTTCGCAACATATCTTGGATCTGTCGAGTGATCTCGACCTTTTGCCAGTCCGCGAAACGCCGAAGCGGTTCCACGACTGGATTGGCTTCCGGTCTTAAAGCGATCTTATGTGTTAGCACATTACATGTGCCCAGGCCTTGGTCGTCGGTCGGGAAGACCTCAGTAAAATCCATTAGCATGCGTACCAGTTCCTTTGCTGGTCCACGGTAATATCACCGTAGTTTAATTTTTCATAATTAATATCTGAAACGTTTTTCGCAATTGTGGTAGGACCAAAAAGGTCATCAATGTCATCTGTGATTTCCGAATTATTCTTCATAAAACGCTTGAGGTTTTCAGGCAGTAACTCATCCAACGCAACTGCACTATCCCGATTCTCGTGATCCGGAACCTCGAGAGTTCGTGTTCCTGTAACTGCTTTAATGACATCTCTGATCCCGAAATTCTTTGTAACGGGTTCCTGATGCTTAGGGATTGTATTCCCCTCGAACTCAAGGTTAGTTAGTTCCTGATCCCCTGTGACCTCAGTGGCAGGTTCCTGGGTCTCCGGACACAAAACTTCCGGGACCTCTAACTTGAATCCTTTCTGAATGCCAGTGACCTCGGTGACCGGTTCTTGGGTCTCCGGGATCGGAATCCCCGGGACCTCAACCTGACCTTTCAAACTTCGTTTGATTTCGTTGCGCGTTAGCAACCCAAAATTAGAAAACTTTTCACGATCGGCTAATGCCCTTATCATACTATCTTTGCTTACTTCCTTCCCACCTTGGGAGGAACTTGCTTCCAACAACTGTAACCCCTCGGGGCCTGCGGGATCTGAACCATCAAGTGCCCTCGCCCGTTCCCGGAGACTGTTCCGCCAGCAGAACAGCCTCGGAAACTAAGTTCTTGGGTGCGGCCAAACCTGGGCTCGCCTTCTTTCTGAGCTCGCCCGGCAACACGGGTTTCTCAGACGGGTTCTCCGTTATTATTTCTACGGCAACTCGTTTGCCTGTCTTCGGACCACCTCGTGTGTCGGATGGACCGTGTAGAAGGTAAATGGGATTATTAAAAACCGGCTTCCCATTCCCTTCATCCTGACCGTTATCCGGGTTTGCAAGGCCCGGAAAACAGTAATAGAGCAAGGGCAAGACAACAGAATCATTACGCAGTGTTTTGGAACGAAAATCAATTTGGATCCGTGTTTGGTTAAGGTAATCGATACCGATTAATACCTCAAATGGTGCTTGTGTTATAACAAATAGCTCACATGGTTGGACATGGCCCAAAACTTCTAAGTTAACATCGATTTTCTTATTTAACTTGCGTTGTGATGTTATTGTGGAAACGTATGGACCATCGGTATCAATTATTGTAAAACGATTAAGTTTCGCAAAACTTTCTGTAATTAACGAAATCCCCGAACCGGTATCGAGTATCGCCCGACACGAAATATTATTCACACGAGCCCGACAGATAATTGGACCTACTTCACTATTTTTATGGGGGTTTATGATGAAATGGTCTGTGCGTGCGTCGGTACCACGCACAGACCTATTCAGTTTAAAGAAGCGGGGTCGTCCATCGGGAGCTGTTCCCATGGATCCGCCTGAAGGTTACTGTGATAGAAAACTCGTGTCGGATTTGCAGCGGTACCGGCTGCCGGAAAAACTGGCGGGAGCTGTGGTCGAGCGGGTTGCTGACCACCTGTAATCATAGGGACAGGTTGGGCTGGACCCACAGCAGGATAAGCATTATGTGGGGGTGGCGGTTCGTAAGTACCGCGAGCCACTGCGTTGGCGTAGGTGCCACGGCCTCGACCACGACCAGTCGATCCTCGGTAGTTTCGACTTTGTGGGTTCTGCCAGCAAACGCCCTTGAGATGGCCTGCCTTCCCACAGTAATGACATTTACGTGACTCACGCTGCCGGGTATCGCGGTGTTGACCACCGGCTTCCAGCTGACTAAGCCGAGCGCGAATAGCTTCCATCTCAGCGAGATTAGGCACCGCAACATCGACTCGTACGGCTTTTGCCTGCGGATCGGTTGGGGGCGGAAAGTTTCCGTAGGACTGTGTCGTCCGTTTCACCGTTTCGGTTTCAACTCGGGGCGGTCGACGTGAAGGTCCCGCCCCCGCTTCAGGAAAGGCTAAGCGTTGCCTGTACTTATAGGCACGTGATATATTCTTCAGTCGCTCAAGAAAATCTGTGGTGTCCTCGATCTCGTCATAAACGGAAACGATTTCCGCTTTTAAGCCATCAGGCAAACCTTGAAACAGGTGTAGTATTAAATCATCAGGGGAAGCGTTAGGATTACGCGTCGTCACGATACGCGTAATTCGCGTGACGTACGCGAGAGGGTCATCAGTTGAGAGCATTTTCAAACTGGTGCCCTCGAGGTCGAAATCGATGGGATTTTTCCCGAAGGTCTCCTTAAGAGCCTTCTTCAAATCATCCCAGCTGTTATCATCGGGACGATTGACAAACCAATGAAGGGCGTCGCCCCTGAGACAAGCTCGAAGACAGCTAAGTAACTGTCCTGACTTCCACCCGTAAAGGGTTCCCTGTGACTCATATTCAAAAATAAAATTATCGACATCCTCAAGAAAAGTCCCTGTGAATTTCGGCAGGTCCCGAATATTAGGGGCACGGAGCTGAAACCCTTTCTCTGCTGGCTGAACATCGTCATCAGCGTCGCCTGGCGCCATGACCTTTTCAGACTTCTTATTTACTTTACGAGGTTTCCGGTTTTGTTTACGTAGTATCGAAAGGCGACCTTTCAACTCGGTCCAGCTTAAATTTTGATTCGCAGCGGACCGGAGAAGGTACCCTGTGGGCGAAGGCGATAGAGATTCAATTCTCTGGTCAAAGGGTATGGCTGAATGAAGACTCAGATCAGGTGATTCATAGAAAGCTGTGTTATGTAGGTCTGCTTGATCAACCGTATGGGGGTCGGAGTCCGAAGACGACTCAACGACGTTCCCAGGAAGGGTTGGCTCTGGCTTCTTGTTTCGATGCTTGAGCCAAAATTTATCAACCGTGGAATCGGAGCTACACTCCGGATCCAGGTTAAATCAATCTTATTAACTCTCAATTTTCAAACGGCGGGTGAGGCCATGACACAAAAAGTAGTGGAAAACAGGAAATGGGTTTGGTACCACGATTGTTCAAGGAGCAATTATCGGACTGATCGCTTAATAAAGAATTGGCAAAAACAAGGCGCAGCTGAATTATCAACTTCTGTCATCCGGCTGCGCACAACAACAACAGCCAACTATCTTGGTAATAATCTTTACCAGGAAAACATGACGGGATGATTCATCCCGAGGTAACGATTCTCTTATTCTTATATAGAACGGGTCACGGTTTGGAAAAATATAATTCATCTGATAACATACATGTTGAATGCTATGTGCAGCATAATATTTATGCTGTTTAAATGGATACGTACAAAAATAAAATGTAGCCCTGTAAAACATAACCGGAAGATATGAAAATTAATTACCAAAAGAAGACAAAAGTAATGAAATGAAGTTCATGGAACTGTAAATAATTTTTCGAATTATGAAACCACATAAAAGAGAAAGAGAATCTCACAATCGATGCGGATTATGTCGATGCGCATTAACCAACAACGTGTTACAGCAAGGACACACGGTTTGTGTTATATATTGGAAGACATAAAGGTCACTCAGGTTTTGTCGAGGCGCAACTAAATGTGCTCTCCTGGTCTCAAGGACAATACAATGGACAAACAAAACTTTTGCATCGTTGCTGAAAATTGTAGTACAAAAATCTGCGAATTCATCAACATCATCACTTTCTGTTGTTTGCCAAACGCTGTGAATTATTCGGCCCGTATGATCTCGTGAAACAGTTTTATATGAGAATTGCATTTCACAACAGATTACTGAAAAGAATGAGATAAAAGAATATATATATATATTTATTCCAATGCAAAATGAAATTCATACATAAGAATGTTTACAACAAGGGCACGTTGCCTCAGCAATATATTTTTGTACATACGCATCCGTACTTTTTTCACGAACATTAATACCGCTTCCGATGGGGTTGAATGTCACGTAATCAATTAGCAATGCTTCAGGATTATTTTCGAAAAAGGTATCACAAAAAGAATCGAAAGCTTCTTCGTCAGCGTGATTTGCATTCCGAAAGAAGCGCCAGTAGATTACGCCATCTGTTGTACGGCGACAAAGAACTTTATAGTCGAATAACATTTCTTAAAATTCATAACAGAAAGGAAAGAAATACCGCGCAATAATTTTCATGAAAAGAGAATGCATGCAATAAAGACGATTCGAAAATGCAAATATTGAAATATTAAAATACGGAGATCACTGATTCATTCTATTCAGGAATTTGCAGCACATTGCGCATACCACCGAGCGATACCAAACGATCAACAATATCCTAAACAAGAGAATCCGTAATAGGCATTTTAAACAAAATCCCTGTATCTTCAGTATCCAGATTTTTCCACTCGACATACAATACAGTCGAATATTGAATAAACATATTATTGCAAAATGCCGCTAGTTCATTATTATTTTGGAAAGAATAAGTCTGCGACAATCGATGTATATACACCTGATTATTGATTCGCTGAACAAGTGACAATTCGTATACCATATTTAAATTTTAGAACGAGTAATGGATTATTCACGAAAGAAATTAATGAAATGCAAACATTTTCAACAATGGTAAAACATACACGGCCGTATTACGGCACATATGACACTACAGTGTCATGCACTGATATAATTCACGTGCACTGTCGGACGGCTGACAACCGTCTCTAATCACTTTTCGGATTATTAAATATTCAGACTCACGTTTCCGGTATGTTGCCGGTCCATGCTGTGGCAATGCGCAAGGGAAATGCCGGGTGGCCAGGTAATGGCACGGCGATGCCGGAAATAACGGTCACCGGTTAACACGGCATAGGACAGGAAAGAAAACAAGGCAAAATAGAAGGACGACTGTAATAACCGACAGGTATTTTCTCAGTACAGGAGGACCATTTGTTACATGAATAATTGGCAGAGCGAAATAAACTGAAAGGTCACGGCGGTATAAGACCGGCCGGTTTCGTAGTCTAATATGCAGTGTTTACGGAAATATGCATTAACGGCAACGAACGAGACGGCAAATGCGAGTCAGGGATTGTTGTTGAAGGAAATTAGGCTGCACCATTGTAACTGTGTCCGAAAAGTGAAAAAGCAGCGGTATAAAACGGCAACAAGTGGAACGGTCTATCAGATAATAACATTCATGGGCATATCGCCCTTATGATCAGTCGAAGGCTAGCGCAGGCGAATATCGCTCAAAGAATCTATACGTGACAGTTCTGACAACATGGCGAAAATGTGACACGTCTGACAGTAACTTTTTCTGGTGAAATTTTTTTTGCAAACCAATTTCAGATTCGTGCTCAGCGCATCGAATAACTATTAAAAGCAGACTTTGGGGCAGTTTCACCACGCAGTTATTGAGTTCTGACAACATGGCGAAAATGTGACACGTCTGACAGTAACTTTTTCTGGTGAAATTTTTTTGCAAACCGATCTCAGATTCGTGCTCAGCGCATCAAATAACCCTTAAAAGCAGACTTTTGAGCAGTTGCACCACGTTGTTATTGAGATCCAAAAATTCCGGTGAAAATGCAAGTTTTCCATAACTTTTTTCGTTGAAATTTTTTTTGCAAACCGACTTGAAATTCGTGCTCAGCGCATTGAATAACCTTCAAAAACAGACTTTGGAGCAGTTTCACCACGTAGTTATTGAGATCCAAAAATGCCGGTGAAAATGCATGTTTTCCATAACTTTTTTCGTTAAATTTTTCTTGCAAACCGACTTGAAATTCGTTCTCAGCGCATCGAATAACCCTTAAAAGCAGACTTTGGAGCAGTTTCACCACGTAGTTATTGAGATCCAAAAATGCCGGTGAAAGGTCAAGTTTTCCATAACTTTTTTCGGTGAAATTTTTTTTGCAAACCGACTTAAGATTCGTGCTCAGCGCATCGAATAACCCTTAAAAGCAGACTTTAGAGCAGTTTCACCACGTAGTTATTGAGATCCAAAAATGCCGGTGAAAATGCATGTTTTCCATAACTTTTTTCGTTAAATTTTGTTTGCAAACCGACTTGAAATTCGTTCTCAGCGCATCGAATAACCCTTAAAAGCAGACTTTGGAGCAGTTTCACCACGTAGTTATTGAGATCCAAGAATGCCGGTGAAAGGTCAAGTTTTCCATAACTTTTTTCGGTGAAATTTTTTTTGCAAACCGACTTAAGATTCGTGCTCAGCGCATCGAATAACCCTTAAAAGCAGACTTTAGAGCAGTTTCACCACGTAGTTATTGAGTTCTGACAAGTCCGAAACCGGTGAGATGGCATTTATCCTGTCTGATTTTTGCGGCGTCCGATTTCCCGCGTTGTTCGGCATAGGGAAACGTTTTTTGGCTAATTTTGAAACTGGTGCTTCATATAGATAAAATTGGCGTGTTTGGTGAAATTTTTTTACCTGTCAGGGAGTCAAAAACCGGTGAGATGGCATTTATCCTGTCTAAATTTTGCGGCGTCGGATTTCCCGCGTTTTTCTGCATAGGAAAACGTTTTTTGGCTAATTTTGGAATTGGTGCTTCATAAAGATAAAATTGGCGTGTTTGGTAAAATTTTTTTACCTGTCAGGGAGTCAAAAACCGGTGAGATGGCATTTATCCTGTCTGAATTTTGCGGCGTCGGATTTCCCGCGTTTTTCTGCATAGGAAAACGTTTTTTGGCTAATTTTGAAATTGGTGCTTCATATAGATAAAATTGGCGGGTTTGGTAAAAAACTTTTTCTACCTGTAAGGGAGTCAAAAACCAGTGAGATGGCGTTTATTCAGTCTGATTTTTGCGGCGTCCGATTCCCCGCGTTTTATTGCATAGGAAAACGTTTTTTGGCTAATTTTGGAATTGGTGCTTCATAAAGATAAAATTGGCGGCTTTGGTAAAAACATTTTTTAATTGTCAGCGAGTCAAAAACCGGTCAGATGGCGTTTTTTCTGTCTGGTTTTGCGACCGATCTTCGCGTTTTTTTGCATAGGAAAACGTTTTCTGGCTAATTTTGAAATTGGTGCTTCATAAAGATAAAATTGGCGGGTTTGGTGAAATTTTTTTACCTGTCAGTGAGTCAAAACCGGTGAAATGGCATTTATCCTGTCTGATTTTTGCGGCGTCCCATTCCCCGCGTTTTTCTGCATAGGAAAACGTTTTTTGGCTAATTTTGGAATTGGTGCTTCATAAAGATAAAATTGGCGGGTTTGGTGAAATTTTTTTACCTGTCAGGGAGTCAGAAACCGGTGAGATGGCATTTATCCTGCCTGATTTTTGCGGCGTCGGATTTCCCGCGTTTTTCTGCATAGGAAAACGTTTTTTGGCTAATTTTGAAATTGGTGCTTCATATAGATAAAATTGGCGGGTTTGGTAAAAAACTTTTTTTACCTGTAAGGGAGTCAAAAACCAGTGAGATGGCGTTTATTCAGTCTGATTTTTGCGGCGTCCGATTCCCCGCGTTTTATTGCATAGGAAAACGTTTTTTGGCTAATTTTGAAATTGGTGCTTCATATAGATAAAATTGGCGGGTTTGGTAAAAAACTTTGTTTACCTGTAAGGGAGTCCGAAACCGGTGAGATGGCGTTTATTCAGTCTGTTTTTGCGGCGTCCGATTCCCCGCGTTTTATTGCATAGGAAAACGTTTTTTGGCTAATTTTGAAATTGGTGCTTCATATAGATAAAATTGGCGGGTTTGGTAAAAAACTTTTTTTACCTGTAAGGGAGTCCGAAACCGGTGAGATGGCGTTTTTTCTGTTTGATTTTTGCGGCGTCCGATTTCCTGCGTTTTTCTGCATAGGAAAACGTTTTTCGGCTAATTTTGGAATTGGTGCGTCATATAGATAAAATTGGCGGGTTTGGTGAAATTTTTTTACCTGTCAGGGAGTCAAAAACCGGTGAGATGGCTTTTATCCTGTCTGATTTTTGCGGCGTCCCATTTACCGCGTTTTTCTGCATGGGAAAACGTTTTTTGGCTAATTTTGGAATTGGTGCTTCATAAAGATAAAATTGGCGGGTTTGGTGAAATTTTTTTACCTGTCAGGGAGTCCGAAACCGGTGAGATGGCATTTATCCTGTCTGATTTTTGCGGCGTCCGATTCCCCGCGTTTTTCTGCATAGGAAAACGTTTTTTGGCTAATTTTGGAATTGGTGCTTCATAAAGATAAAATTGGCGGCTTTGGTAAAAAACATTTTTTAATTGTCAGCGAGTCAAAAACCGGTCAGATGGCGTTTTTTCTGTCTGGTTTTTGCGGCGTCCGATTCTTAGCGTTTTTTTGCATAGGAAAACGTTTTTTGGCTAATTTTGGAATTGGTGCTTCATAAAGATAAAATTGGCGGGTTTGGTTAAATTTTTTTACCTGTCAGTGAGTCAAAAACCGGTGAGATGGCATTTATACTGTCTGATTTTTACGGCGTCCGGTTCCCCGCGTTTTTCTGCATAGGAAAACGTTTTTTGGCTAATTTTGGAATCGGTGCTTCATAAAGATAAAATTGGCGGGTTTGGTGAAATTTTTTAACTGTAAGGGAGTCAAAAACCAGTGAGATGGCGTTTATTCAGTCTGATTTTTGCGGCGTCCGATTCCCCGCGTTTTTCTGCATAGGAAAACGTTTTTTGGCTAATTTTGGAATTGGTGCTTCATAAAGATAAAATTGGCGGGTTTGGTGAAATTTTTTTACCTGTCAGGGAGTCAAAAACCGGTGAGATGGCATTTATCCTGTCTGATTTTTGCGGCGTCCGATTCCCCGCGTTTTTCTGCATAGGAAAACGTTTTTTGGCTAATTTTGGAATTGGTGCTTCATAAAGATAAAATTGGCGGGTTTGGTAAAAAACATTTTTTAATTGTCAGCGAGTCAAAAACCGGTCAGATGGCATTTATACTGTCTGATTTTTACGGCGTCCGATTCCCCGCGTTTTTCTGCATAGGAAAACGTTTTTTGGCTAATTTTGGAATCGGTGCTTCATAAAGATAAAATTGGCGGGTTTGGTGAAATTTTTTTAAATGTAAGGGAGTCAAAAACCAGTGAGATATCGTTTATTCAGTCTGATTTTTCCGGCGTCCGATTCCCCGCGTTTTTCTGCATAGGAAAACATTTTTTGGCTAATTTTGGAATTGGTGCTTCATAAAGATAAAATTGGCGGGTTTGGTAAAAAACATTTTTTAATTGTCAGCGAGTCAAAAACCGGTGAGATGGCGTTTTTTCTGTCTGATTTTCACGGCGTCCGATTCCCCGCGTTTTTCTGCATAGGAAAACGTTTTTTGGCTAATTTTGGAATCGGTGCTTCATAAAGATAAAATTGGCGGGTTTGGTGAAATTTTTTTAACTGTAAGGGAGTCAAAAACCAGTGAGATGGCGTTTATTCAGTCTGATTTTTCCGGCGTCCGATTCCCCGCGTTTTTCTGCATAGGAAAACATTTTTTGGCTAATTTTGGAATTGGTGCTTCATAAAGATAAAATTGGCGGGTTTGGTAAAAAACATTTTTTAATTGTCAGCGAGTCAAAAACCGGTGAGATGGCGTTTTTTCTGTTTGATTTTTGCGGCGTCCGATTTTCTGCGTTTTTCTGCATAGGAAAACGTTTTTTGGCTAATTTTGGAATTGGTGGTTCATAAAGATAAAATTGGCGGGTTTGGTGAAATTTTTTTACTTGTCAGGGAGTCAAAAACCGGTGAGATGGTATTTATCCTGTCTGATTTTTGCGGCGTCCGATTCCCCGCGTTTTCCTGCATAGGAAAACGTTTTTTGGCTAATTTTGGAATTGGTGCTTCATATAGATAAAATTGGCGGGTTTGGTAAAAAACTTTTTTTACCTGTAAGGGAGTCAAAAACCGGTGAGATGGCATTTATCCTGTCTGATTTTTGCGGCGTCCGATTCCCGCGTTTTTCTGCATAGGAAAACGTTTTTTGGCTAATTTTGGAATTGGTGCTTCATAAAGATAAAATTGGCGGGTTTGGTAAAAAACATTTTTTAATTGTCAGCAAGTCAAAAACCGGTCAGATGGCATTTATACTGTCTGATTTTTGCGGCGTCCGATTCCCCGCGTTTTTCTGCATAGGAAAACGTTTTTTGGCTAATTTTGGAATTGGTGCTTCATAAAGATAAAATTGGCGGGTTTGGTGAAATTTTTTTAATTGTAAGGGAGTCAAAAACCAGTGAGATGGCGTTTATTCAGTCTGATTTTTCCGGCGTCCGATTCCCCGCGTTTTTCTGCATAGGAAAACGTTTTTTGGCT